TGTTGTGATGCTGACCTGCTGCCCCAAACTGCGCGATACTGTTGTGTGTCTGTGCTGATAAAGAGGCCTTGAGAGGGAAAAAATGGCATGTCAGAACTATACATGTAGCTGCTGCTTTTTCTTAAACACAGACCCACCTGCTAGATCTGATCTGTGAGGAGATCGGTGGTCAAGATGGTCCTTTAAGGGCTAATGCAGCTGACAAGGCTGTAAAATCACAAGCTTATTAATGTCTTCTGCTGGTGTTTGCTCATGGGCAGGCTCTGTTCTCACCTGGTGCTTCTCCTTCCGTCAGATCCACAGCAGGTATGAGGGAAAGAAAACCTCCAAGCACAAGAGGAACTTGGCCATTACTGGTGGGGTCACTTTGTCTGTCATTGCCTCTCCAGTCATCGCTGCTGTCAGTGTTGGTAAGTGGGCACGGTCCCTTTCCCTTCTGGTGGGCCAGTAGTCACCGAGACAAGTGGGTAGCCCAGCCCTGTGAGATGGGGGTGGCCAAAGGGCAGTTTGCAGACTGCTGCTGTGTTTTCTTCTGGGCACATCCCTCCGTTTCACATCCAGGCTGCACGTCCTCATGTGCTTGAGTTGGCCTGGAGCCAGCACGGGGCTTGTCTGGAGCACCAGTTGCCTGTGCCACAGCCCATAGTGGAGTCCCTTGACACACGGAGCTGTCTCTTACCCGAGGACTGGTTTGGTGGCTGATGTATTGGGGGTTCAGCCGAGGCTGTCTGCGCTATTGGGGTTCCCTCATTCTGCGCTGCAGCAGCACAAACGAAGGGCTCCTCCGCTGTCTGTCTGCAAAGCTGTGAACTAGGACCTTTAAAAGCAGCGTAAACACAACCGAAAGAGTCCCTGCCGAGTCCTTTCTGTCTGCCCAACACAGCTCAGCCTTAAGCTCCTCTTAACTCAGCGCATCCTACTCTCCAGGTATTGGAGTCCCCATCATGCTGGCTTATGTCTATGGTGTTGTGCCGATCTCGCTGTGCCGAGGTGGTGGCTGCGGAGTTAGCACCGCCAACGGAAAGGGTGTGAAAATCGAGTTTGATGAAGATGATGGACCAATCACAGGTAATGTGATAACTGGTGAAAGGAAGGGGGTGAAGCAAGACCCTCTTGTCATGAAATGGTAGGGGGTCTTAACGTTTCCCAACTCTGAACATCTGTCTTTACCTGGGTTTGGCTAGAAGCAGTTATTTGCTTCAGTCTGCTGGTGATCAGCTGTGCGGCGCTCAAAGCAAAGTCTCAGCTCTTCCTTGCCCTGGACGAGGCAGGGAGGCAGTCTGAGACGAGGCACATGCTGCCTGCTCTCTGACCCCCAGCTCTGCCAGCGCCATCCCCGCCCAACGGTTCCCTTGCTGATTCTGATTCCTGTGCTCTTCTTCCCCGCAGTGGCTGATGCCTGGCGAGCCCTGAAGAACCCCAGCATTGGCGAAAGCAGCATTGAGGGGCTGACCAGTGTGCTGAGCACCAGCGGGAGCCCCACCGATGGGCTCAGCGTGATGCAGGGCAACTACAGCGAGACGGCCAGCTTCGCTGCCCTCTCAGGCGGCACCCTGAGTGGTGGTGTCCTCTCGGGAGGCAAGGGGAAGTACAGCAGGTAACTGAACTGATGGGCACAGCGAGAAAGGGGTAGAGGCTCCCAAGGCCTGTGTTGGTTGAGCAGGCTTATTTTGGGGAGCCCTCCAGGACTGTGAGCGGTCCTTCTTTGACTTGGGAGTCATGTCCTAGTATTTTTACTTCTTGGTCTGTTGTAGAATAACCAGTCCCAGCAGAACCAGGCTACTTCTGGAGTCAGTGCTAGGCTGGTTCTTGCAAGGAGGACAAAAGATAAACAAGTTTCTGTCCCTACTGAGCTCCTTGAAACTGCAGAGCTGATGCTTCAGGTTAATTGGGAACAGCGCAGAGATGCCTGCGTGGCCTGCTTAAAGATCTTCCAGTCCTCTGATCTCAGCCTAGAGGCTTTGATGCTTCCTGTTCTCCAGTGGCCTATAGCAAGCAGGGTCACTGCTTTCCAAGTCGGGAGGTTACACCACAGTTTTCCTCTAAACCTGCCTGTGAGTCAGTTTGCTGGGTAATTGGAGACACGTGTTGATACGGCAGCCAGGTTATAATCATGGCTGTGTGCTAGATCTGTTGAAATCGGTTCTTCGCAGGAATTGAGTGAGTCACAGATATAAACACAACTTTAACCTTCATCATGGAAAACAGAATGGGTTTACCTAAATGGAGCCAAAAATGAGACTAAATGAGAGGAACCATTGGGGTTAAACTCTGTCATGCTGAGCTGGGCCAGCACAGAGGGCCTCTTGCTTTTTCCCCATGATGAACAGCAACTGTTTGGTGCCCCTCGGGGACCATCTAAGGCATTGCTGAGGAATCCTCTTCTTTCCTGCAGGCTGGAAGTTCAGGCAGATGTCCAGAAGGAGATTTTCCCCAAAGACTCGGTCAGCTTGGGGGCTATCAGTGACAACGCCAGCACTCGAGCCATGGCTGGTTCCATCATCAGCTCCTACAACCCCCAGGACAGGTAGGAGGACATGCGATGGTGAGAAGAGTGTTGGTAGTGGGTGTCCTGGAAAAATCTGTGCTCTGCGAGGTGCTGCTGTGGGTGGCGAGGTGCCTGTAGTTGCACCAGCCCGCTCTTCTGTAGCTGGCAAGTGGATTGATCCTTTTACTTGCACAGAAGGACAACTGGGGACAATTTGGGAGCAACTTTCATGTATAATGTGGAGGCTGAGGAGGGGATCTGCAGCCCAGCACTCTCAAGCTCTGTTCCTGGCTGCTCGCAGGGACTCTGATGCTTTCCCAGTTCAGTTCCTGGCTCACAGCCTGGGGATGATCTTGGCTGCTGTTAGGAGGGACTCAAGGAGAGCAGCGAGTGGCGGTGTTTCCCAGATGCCGTGGGGTGATGAGCAGCATCTTGCTCATGTTTGGGAAACGTGATCCTCCCGGTGCAGTGATGCAGTGCCTGGTGGTGACCCAGTCGAGCCCAGTAACGCAAGGGTGCTTGTTTCTGCAGGGAGTGCAATAACATGGAGATCCAGGTGGACATCGAAGCCAAACCAAGTCACTACCAGCTGGCCAGCGGCAGCAGTACAGAGGACTCTCTGCATGTCCACACCCAAATGGCAGAGTCTTGCTCATGTTTGGGAAACGTGATCCTCCCGGTGCAGTGATGCAGTGCCTGGTGGTGACCCAGTCGAGCCCAGTAACGCAAGGGTGCTTGTTTCTGCAGGGAGTGCAATAACATGGAGATCCAGGTGGACATCGAAGCCAAACCAAGTCACTACCAGCTGGCCAGCGGCAGCAGTACAGAGGACTCTCTGCATGTCCACACCCAAATGGCAGAGAATGAGGAAGAGGAGGAGGAGGAGGAGGAGGAAGAGGATGGTGAGCAGGAGCAGACGTGCAAACACCAAAGCTGTGAGCAAAAGGACTGCATTGCCAGCAAAACCTGGGACATCACCCTGGCCCAGCCTGAGAGCATACGGAGTGACCTGGAGAGCTCCGACAGTCAGTCGGACGACGTGCCAGACATTACGTCGGACGAGTGCGACTCCCCCCACTCTCAGACTGCAGCAGTCTGCCCACAGACCCCCAAAGCTAGAGGTGCCGAGAGCCCAAGTGCCCACCCGAGCCACTGTGCCCAAGCTGAGGGCTGCAGGCTGGATGATATAGTCAAACTGGAGTGCATCGAAGCCAGAGTATGAAGTGGCCTCCTGCTGAAAAGCACACTTGCTGTCATTGCATCTTTTGGGGCAGGGTTGTGTCCGTGTTGGCTTCTGTTTGCGATTCTCCAGCTGGCTCCCCAGCCTCGCCTCGGGGAGTTGCTGTTTCTTACATGACCAAAAAAGAAAAAGGAAAAAAAAAAAATATCCCCCGCCCTCTTTTTGTTTTAATTTATTGGTTCAAGCTCTGTGAGGTGTGTAAGAGTGTAAATATGTATGTGTGTCTGTATGTCTGCAAACATCCTAAGGGACTATTTGAATAAAGACTCTGGTTGTCATTCGACTCGCATCCAGCTCATCCTTTCCAAAGATGTGCGGTGAAATCCTCCGGCTGCCTTTGCCCTTTGCTCAAGCGTTTGTAAACACTGCCCTAGCCCAAGGCATGGGGAAAATGGGGGCATCTCCTCTTCTGCCGCTAGAAAGTGTGGTGTGACAGCCTCGTTCTGCCTGCAGCGGCAGTGGGGACGGTGCCTGTGCCACGCACGGCTGCAGTGGCCGGACCTGCTTTGTCCTGAAGCTGTAGCAGGGAGAGGTCTCTCTTCTCCCCCTTCCCTGTGCAGCAGGGCTGTGTACAGGTTAAAAGAGGGGAAGGATGGGGACTAACGCTGTGCTGAGCCAAATTCCCAGCGCCGCTGGGTGTAAGGGATCTGAGGAGGCTGAGGGCTGGGCTCGTGGCTCAGGCGGCATATTAGGGACAAGCGTCTTTGAGCCTCTGCCTGGACCAAGCCCTTCCCCAGACCAGTCCCAGGAGCCAGGGCTGCATTCCTGTCCCTGTAATTAAATTGTTGGTGCCTCACGTCCGCAAAGAGCTTTGCAGAGAGCATCGCTTAGCAAGGATCTCCTGTGAGTGAGGGAGGGCTCCCCAAAGCACCCCTGGTGTGAGCAGAGCTGGGTTGCTCTTCCTGCAGCCGCCTTGCCAAGCCGTTGTCCCCAGCCCCTCTCGCTCAGTCTCTTGCTATCAGTAACTTCCCTGGAAGTTTCATTATGGCAATTGCCACCAGACTGGCTCCTCTGAGTCACCTCCGGGAAGCTGGCACCCATCCTGACCCCTCTGCTTTTCCCTCTCTCTGCAGGTTGATCCCCGGTACCCGATGGTGCTCATCTCTGCCCCGCGGTCTGGCAGCATCCCACCCCGAGGGGCTGCCCCTTCCCAGACCCTCAGCCCATGACCTCGGACCTGCTGCCATCGCTTTAGGGTGGACCCACCCGAGTGTGCCGGGGATGGATGGGGAAAGGGACGAGGCAGCGTGGCATTGCGTATCGGCATGGCGTATGGCGCAGCCGCCGGCTCGGCAGCAAGGGGAGCGCAGGGGTGGGGATAGGGCTGTGCTTCGCCTCGGGTGGAGGCAGGCGAAGGTGGAGTTATCCCTTTGTTTGTCCCGGGGAGCTGGTCTGACAGGAATTGGAGTAGCAGCGGGGTGCAGCAGGCGAGTGGCTCCAGTGGCCTGGTCCTGGTCCCAGCCCTGATCCTGCCCGGCCACCTGGAGACCCTGATGGATCCGGCTGCCAACCCGGGGGCTGAGGGCAGGGCAGGTCCCACGGGCATCGAGGGCCTCTGATGGCCTGATCCCGGCCCGGTGAAGATGTGTCAAGTGGGTGAGTCCGGGTCTGGCGTGGTGATTGCAATGGGAGGGTGCCCCAGCCCTGCCCGTGACTCCAGCACTGCAGGGAAACTGAGGCTCGGAGGGAGGGAAGCCGAGGGGCTTGGACAGGGTCAGGGACGGAGCTGGGCTGGACACCTGGGTGACGGCGGGTGCGCGAGGACAGCGGCCCCGGGGTGGGTCCCGACAGAGGAACAGCCTGGCTGCTGCGGTCACTCCTCAAAGCGCCGGGTGCCGAGAGCCAGCGCTGGAGCTGTGGTTTACGGGCAGCTGCTCTCTCCAGAGCTTCCTCATCGCTCCGAGCAGCCCCAGCCCCATCAGGGATGCCTGTCCCCACGGCCGCTAGCCCCGCGCTGCCGCCCCAGTCCCAGGAGAGCTGGCTGGAGTGGTTTGCATACCTGGGCTGCCAGCGGCCGCCACCACGTCGCCTCCTGCCTCATCCCCCCGCCAGCGTGGGGCACATCCTCTGGGGCTGTCCCCAAATGCCCCCTGCCTGTGCTGAGCGCAGCGCAAGGGCAGGAGGGATGGCTTGGTGCTGGCCACCCCACACCGTCCAGCCTCCTTGCCCAGCCCTCCTCTCCCCTCCGTCTCAGGCCACCTCAATCCCGGCAGCCACCAAAGGGTCCTCATGAAAACGGGCCTCATCCTCCTCATCATTGGGCACCTCAACTTCATCACCGGCGCCCTCGTCCATGGCACCGTCCTCCGCTTCGTGGTTGACCCCCGGGACGCCATCTCCCTGCAGTATGCCATCGCCAATGCCACCTCCGTCATCTCCGCGCTGCTGGTACCGTGGGGTGCAGGGGGGTATGGGGGGACTTGGAGTGGATGCGGGATGGATGTGGTATGGATGCAGGGTGGGTAGAAGGTGGGATGCAGGAGGATACAGGATGGACACTGCTCCATCTCCCCCTCCCTGCTCTAAATAGGCCTTTCTAGCACAAAACTGGGGGGGTTTAAATGCACAGGGACTTGTCACGGGGTGGAGGCTGGGGGAAATGAAGCTCTGCCCCCCCCCCTGCTGAATTGGG